TACAATTTCTCTTTAGACTTTTCTAGTTAAAATCCTCCTTAAAGACTTCTAACATTAAAACTTGCTGCTTCTCCTGATAGTCCATAAACAAGCCAAAAATTTGAATAAATACTTTATCTGGTCCGAAACTTAACATTGTGCAGTTATCAGTGAATTATTAACAAGTTAAAAATCCATAGAAGCCTGTCTTTAGCCTTGATGCTTTCTGTAAGCATTTGTAGAGAGTCTCAAAACTCATGCTGAGAGGGGAAATACAGTGAAGAGAATAAGAAGGAGCAGTGAGTCCTCTGGACGTTCTGGTGTGCTCACTGTAATGAACCTTGTGTTCCTACACAATGCAGCCATACTATCACTATGTGCAGAACACCAGTGCAGCTGGCTGATAAGTATTTTAAACATGACAGCTGACAAAACTGCCTGTTTATTGATTTTAGCACATTTAAGTTACATTCAGTTAAGTTGCCTCCCACCTCCTACACCAAAAAAAAAAGCTCCAAAACAAAGTATGCAGTGGGAATGCTGGGTACCAACTATTTCATTCTAAGATGGGCTGCTATTGCAGCATCCTGCCTGCCCCATTTATGTATTTTCTTCAATGCCAAGAAGTGCTTAAGTATTGAATATTCAAGACATTAATCACTTTTAGCTTTACCTAGTATGACAAGCCATTATATTTGAGTTGTTGCAGTTCTCTCCTTGTCCACATCAGTTATGCAGTTTTTAAGACCACTACGATCACAAAGCAAACCCCTTCAAGCAGCTTAATGGAGACTGCAGTCAGCACAAACCAGCCACCAGACTGTCACCTCAGTTAAACAGATCCTCATGAAGCTCCAGAGATGAAAAAAGCCTGTCTGCCAATATCATGTTTTCAGTTTGCTAACAACACTTCATTTTCCCTCTCCTTTCAAGGAGAAAGGAGTCCCCATGGTTTTTTTTTTTTATTTTTCTGAAAGGCTGAAATCAACATCTCTGAAAAATATTCACTACTTAATGCTGACAGTTAAATATACCCAATCAAATCCCCCAGTTAAATCCCCCAATCAAAATATAGAATAAATATACCCAAAATCCCCCAATCACTACCTTTGGCAGGGTGCAAACTGGGTATATAAAGCCAGCCTCCAACGCTAGCCTCCAAAGTTAGCAATGTGCCAAAAAAAATTAAACCCCTCTGAAAAAATAATTCTATATATTTTCTGTCTCAATCCTGAGGCCAGAAATTACTTTTTCCTCTTTTGACAGAAGTTTACTGCATTGACAGCATTGTTTAATTGTCCAACCCAGCCTAGCAGCAATTTCTGAAATGATGTTGAAATCTGGCAGAGTGGCCGTGGCACTGCTTCACAACACACGTTCCTCTCTTGGCCATTTCCATTGTTTCCACTTCCAGTGCTATGTTCTGCAGAAATCACTTGTTTTCTTGTTAGGATCATCTGAGCAGTTGTTACCCATTAAGAAAGAATAAACAATCTTAATGTCTAAAGGGAACTAGCTGCCCTGACTCAAGGTAAAAGTGCAGAAAGCAGCTGCTTTACCTCACTGAAACCACAGGGCCACCAAAGGCTGCACTGAACTGAGCTGCTTGGGAAGTGCTGGTGAGGATTCTCCCTTTTCCTTTGAAGTTCTTCTGGGGTGAGTTACCATTCTCTTTACAGCCTCTAGATATGCTACTTCTCTAGAATTACACTGAGAAAGTGATGAAGGCAGAGTCAAAGAGAGAGAATAAATATATATATGTAAGACGCAGAAGGATTGCAGAAATGGCCACAAATAAATGTAATGGGAAAACTTGGAAAAGATACCTGACCATCAGGCTTCAAGTGTGAGACAACCTATTTACAGGAATAGAGGGAAAATTGCCCTTCAGCTTAGGAAATGAGGGCTGAGACATTTAAGACAGGAGGATTTGATGCAGTTGCTTATGACACTGCTGTTGCTGGAGTAGATATAAGTGAACCCACTTATAGGGGGTTCACTTATGTCTAGTAATAAGGTCCATTTTTGCTCTAAATTATCATGTTCTCTTATAAACCTACTCAATTGTGTCTCAGAGATCAGCTTGTTAACTGAGAAGAGTGAGATGATTCCTGTCCTGGATACTTGCAAAGACTGATGGATTATTCTACTGGCAGTTATTTCTTCAAAATATAGCTAAAAGCTGAATACACATTTGTTCTGTAACTAAATGTTGCATGCTACCCATTGAAACCAGTTTAGAAAGATCTCTTATTTCATGTATTATGTGAAGCAGGACATTATTTGTATTACTTTTCAAAAGAGAAAAAATAACTTACATTAAAAATACATTCACTTGTCTTTTTGTGTGAATTCTACAGTTTATGAATCCCTCTGATGGCCTTACACATTCATACTATGCTCTGGTATTCAAAATAAGACTATCTTGGTCCCTTTTCCTATTAGGAATAAACTCTTTCAATGGCTTCAGCCATAAATGCATTTTCATGGCAAGCAGAAGCAGTTTTTAAATCTAGCCTGACATCTTAGTTATTGCTTTTAACTTAAGCCATTATATAATCTATAGGTGATAGAAGAATTCTAATGGAGAGCATTCCTTTTTTAAAATATGATTTAGAGAACAATGTGAAAAATAACCCCTAAGCTCCATCTAAATAGATTTCAGCTTTTCACAGTGAACTATATAACTCAACATATATTTTCATTTGTGGTTTCTGGATAGCAGAAGGTATTGAATTAGGCATCAAGCCTTCACATCACTCTTTCAGAATCTGGGGGGTATGTGCTGGACTGAATGGCCAGGAATAATCATGCTGTTCCCTTTGGCACAGTCTTAAAAAGATTCTGAGAGCGCTGGGGGAAATATCTCTAAGAAAATACCAAGCAGACTCAGAATGCCCAAACCCTGCAGCCTCAGTTGTAAAGAAAGATTGCAGCTTGTGCAGACTCCTAAATCAGCTTTAATTTAGATAAGTAATGGATCAATAGCAATGAAGTCAGTACCAGGATGGATTTCAAATCAGGATAGTTATCCAATGACGAACCTGGAATCTCAGAGGGGCCCAATCATCCTGCAGCTTCTGTGAGGCTGAAACTTTGCTGCTGCTTTCTGATCAAGCTACTTTACAGCATCAAGCTGCCAACTCCTAATGCTGCATGTACACTTCCAGCTTTGGTACAGATGTACCTCAGTACAAAAAACAAACAGGAATGCCATCAATCAGAAAATACCGGAAATAGCAACAGCCAGCACCATAAGGAAATCTGGTTTTTAGTCAGGTCCTCTCAAGCATTAACACTCTGGTGAGACATGATGTTTGAACTGTTTCTGAGCTAGTACTACTAAAAAGTGTTAAGAAAATAGGTACTTTAAATACAGTCATATGAGCAGAGCTGAGACCCTGTCACTGATACTGTCACATTCGGTGATGCTGCTGAACAGGTGATTCTGCTCCTCCAGCTGAAATCCGAGCAAGGAGTGGTCTTTAAATGTGGGGGCTGTCCCCACTTCTGCTCCCTGCTGGGACCTCAAAAAACCTGATGTTTTTAAACCAGCAGAAGTAGAAGGCTGGAAGCAGCTTTGAGGTGCTTCAAGATGTCTTCAGTGGTAAGATGAATTGATAATTTCACACACTATGTTCTCTCTGGCTGACAACCCAATGTCTGAGCTATTACAACAGCACTGTTCTTATGTTATAGCCTCAAATGCACTCAAACCTAATTTAAGATCCACCTTTTGCTCTAAAGTTGATACCATGCTAGCAGCAAAGATGAGGCTGACTGCATCCAAATCTGCACTTACAAAATTAAAGGCAAGATTTCCTTAGCAGAGGACACTTGGTTGTCAAATTTACAACCACCAGAGATCACACCCTCCCTCAGATCTTCACACTGACTTTCCTCTCTAATGGAAAAAAAGATGGTTGCAATAAGCAACCACGGTTATATTTTTTTAATGCCACCACTTTTTGTGTATGGGAAGTAAAAGGAGACTTATGACCTCCCTAGGGACGGTGTGTTTCCAGATATATAAAAGAATAAGCAGATACTGCTTAGCATCTCAAAGCCTTGTCTATGGAGGCACTGTAGATACACACAGTTAATAAGAGATAAAAGTCCTGGCCCTAGACAGCTTCCAGTCAAAACAGATGAAAGGATAAGGAAAAAAGAAGTAATATTATCCTCTTTTTTAATATATATCTATATATACGAAAGCAAAGAACTGAGAAAATAGGTCATTTGCCCAGGACTGGAAGGAAAGCCTGTAAATATGCATTTAAACTGAATACTTGCCAAGTCTCAATCTGGTGTCACAAACCCATTATTTCTCCCAAAACAGCATATTAAGGAAATACCATAAATAAAAAAGAGAGTGCAGACCAGCAGGATCATAAATACATATCGAAATGTAATTATGAACAGTTCTGATTTTATAAAAGTTTCTCTTGTGTCCATTTGGGCTGTTTTGCAGAAGCTGACAAGTATATGCTCCTGTACCAAAAAGTTATTGTGAAATGACACCCCAATTATAATTTCTAATTATCTACCATAACACAATGATCCATGTGTGGACCATAATCAAAACACTTTTTATGGCTGAAACTCATGAGAGAATTGAACACATGAGAGGAACTCCCTCCTGGATACGAACGAAAAGGACAAGACTAATATATATCTAGAGAAGACTCAGGAAAAAGAGTTGAATGTCTATCTGAGAGCTACTTGTAGATGCATTTTTTGTTGCTTTTTTTTTATAGCCCTCTCCTCCAGCGACAATTGACTATATTGCAGTAAAAGAAAAAAAATAGTTATACTTCAAAATTCTCTCCTTTCCCGCAGTATCTGTATTCCTTTAGCACTTCTATTTGAAGAAGTCTTTTTTAGAACAGAAACTAATTCTTTGAAAAAACACCCTGTGGTAGCAAATACATAAATCTCTCATATTGTCCTCACAGCCTGTCTCTTTAGGATTATTATATATTAGATTATTATGGAAAAGAAGATTTAAATGTCTTATTTACCTGAACAGCATCATAATACATTTTCTTGCCGTCTTCATCTGTCTTGTCTGACATCAGCCATGCCTTGAGCAGATATTCATAAAAGCTATCCCCAAGCCCTCCAATGGAGACATGATCTAAATAGGGAAGAAAGAGATTGAACAGCAATTTCATCCTCAGCCATGACAATAAAAGACAATTACAGTTTGATACAGTGTATTTAATGATCTATTTCTACAACATCTTTAATAAACATAAGCCCGGAACCTCAGGAGAAACTTTACTGATATATACAGAGAATTATTTATTTTATTGCTATATTTTTAATCTAGCTAAAATACCATAGTTATTTAATATCCACAATGTACCGCAGGAGATCATGGCAAAGAGAAAACAATTTATATGTGTCCATTCTAATTCATGTAGTCTATTCCATACAAAACCATGTCAAACTAAGTTTTTTCTCTTTTTATTCTAAAAAGGTAAAAAAGTAGAAAGTGTTCTCTGATTTGATAAAGGCTTTCCCTTAAAGTGCAGGCATTGCTCTTTTAGTCACTAACTTTCCATTTAAGTCACTTCATAAAAAAGGCTTTTAGCTCCTTACTGCAGAGTTGAATTTCAGGTTATTTAGTGGTATTTCAAAATGCTGAGCCATATGTTTAAAAATAATACTACATTTTTAAACTTTTGACTGCTCTCAGAACTCAGCAGTGGTTTGGAAGGAAAAAAAACTACTTCACCTCATCTACAGAGTATTGTTGCTGTGACACTGCTTTGTTCTGCCCTATGCTTACTATGTGAAACAATCTGGTACTACAGGTTCTGTGATTATTCAATTGCACAATTTAGTGACTCTGGAAACACTATGGTCACAGAAGCCAGACATCCAACATCAGTTGCACCAGTGATGGGAGATTTAGTGATGCTCTCAGCTGCTTGTACAAGGTTGCACCCACTAACTGTCCAGGAACCTAAAAGATTCTTGGCAAAATTTTGATCGGTTATCATGATTTCAGCATAGATCCCTTAAATGCATTAAATGCTACAACTATATATACATGTAAAGTGTTTTTCTAAGCTCCATTAAGTGAAGAAGAGTAGCTAGAGGTTAGCTTTTGAAACTTGTTGCTGGCAAAATTAAGTGATATTGCCTGGCAAAATTGAGTGATTTGGCATTTATCAAGTCTTCAGTGAAAAATTTCGGAGTGCTTTACTGGGACTTTCCATCTATAGCTGTCATTTTTACAGCAAAGGAGGGATCTGCTAATTCCACTCAAGAAATCCAGGATGGAGATGTCATTACACAGATCACACAGCAAGTTCCTGAGTCATACCACAAAATTCTGACCATGAGAAAAGAAAAAAAACCTGCATGGGATGATCCAGACTCATAAAGCGAGATGCAGAAGGGTTAGCGATCCTGCGCTCACACTTCCTGACACCTAACTCTGATCTTAGCTTCAAAGTTATGCCCGTGTTGGTAGAATTCAAAGGAACACAGAGAATTTATTTTTATAGCCCTTTGTATCTTTTCTCCATGGAAAGCCTCCCTTTACCTTCCAGGCAGCTTGCAAAGACATGCAAATGTAGAAGACAGATATTTGTCTATTCCAACTACATCAACAGTGTCCTTTTCCTCCACTAGCCTGTGACATGCAAAAAAAAATAATTTAGTTTCCTGAATGCATCCTGTCCCTTTGCCTACCAAGTACATTGTACCATCAAACCTGGGTTTGAAAAGGCTTCTTTTTTTCTTCTCCAACCTCTTTTGAATGCGATATATTGAAATTCTGGGAAGACTACACCATTTTTTAAATTAAATGTTCATGATCCAAAAGGAGAAGAGGTTTCTTAAAACAATGGGAACATTTCCTGTGATCAAAGGCTGATCTTTGAACAGCAGCATTTAAATGACCTTTACAGTTTCCTAAATAAATTACCATAGAAACCTCTGACATTTGCAAACTAAATAGCACAAGCAGAGTTTCATCAATAATAAGCCCTGTTATTATATACATTATTGCAGTAGACAAATCCAATTGACGCATGCTGCAGCAAATCACTGTCAGTTTACTGTCAAAATAACAAGGGCTAAATGAATTTACAGGAACAATGGCAGAGATCCATCAGCGACCTTCACAGCTACAGCACTGCTGGAGAAGAAACACTCAGAAACCATTCCTCTCTCTACACTTTATATTTAAGAGAAAATATTTCTGTCTTGTGCCAATTAAGGGTCTTGATTGTTTGGTTTTTCCCTTCTGTTGTAATCAGCTGAAAACAGCCTAGAAAAGCAATTTCAAATGACATATTTTTCAAGTCTCACGTTCTGATCTTCTCTGTGGGGAAAAAATTAGTTAATCAGTGTTGGTGAATGGAGGCAACTGATATGAAAGAGATGGAACAAGATGGAACTTGTCTTTGCTGCTTCAGCCTGCCAGGGACAGACCTGCATCAACACCTGCACCCATCACTCACAGGCATGGGAAGCTATTTATTCATCAGCACTGCATGCTATTGGAAAACAAAGCTCCATGGACACTGCAAATTTTTCTGTGCACACCAACAAAAACTGGCATTTCATGTGAATGAGGAGTGCTTAAGATGCAATTATATTAAAAATATGGAATAACAAAGGCATAAGGCAGAATAAGTGTTTTGACTGCTTTAAAATATGTAGGCAGAGCTACTAACTGCTTCAGCCTCTGAAAAGATCTGCTCAAATGAAGCATCAAAAAGCTGCTTCTGTGGCTAAGAGAAGCCAAGAAAGGAGTTAACTGCATCTGTCTCACAGGTGCTGAGATTGTCTCTAATTAAATCCAGTACCTACTGCTGTAGGATCAACACTTCCAGGGGAGGTTTTATGTCTTGTAAAGCTGTGCTGAACCAACACGTGTTGCAATTGGGCACACGTCTCATCTGTGCAGGGATGTCAGGGTTTATACCAACATGCAACCACAGCTGATGGTCATGCATGCTGAGCTGCCACAAGCCTTGAGGCACAGTGACCTGCAGGAAGCCTCACAGCATAGCAGACTGAGAAATGACAGTGTACTTCTAATTCATAAAGGGAAATGGCATTTGCATTGATGGGAAAATACAGCTGAGCACCACAATCTTTTTGGATACCATTTTAACTCAGAGTGATATAAAACTTTAAAAAATAGATTTTAATCAATAAAATCAAAGAAATCACAGAATGGAACAGGTTGGAAGGAACCACAATGGATCATCTGGTCCAACCTCCCTGTGCCAGCAGGGTTATCCTAGAGCACATGACACAGGATTGTGTCCAGATAGTTCTTGAATATCTCCAGTAAAGGACACTCCACAACCTCTCCCAGACAAAGGCAATTTGCTCCAGTGCTCTGTCACCTGCACATAAAAGTTCTTCCTCATATTCAGGCAGAATTTTCTGTGCATCAGTTTCTTCCCGTTGCCTCTTGTCCTATTGCTTGGCAACCAGGAGAAGAGCCTGGTCCATCCTCTGACATCCTCTCTTCAGGTACTTAAGAGACATCGACAAGGTTCTTTCTCAGTTGTCTCTTCCCAATGCTGAACCAGTCCATCTCTCTTAGCCTTTCCTCAAAGGAGAGATGCTCCAGTCCCCAGTCATCTTTGTCACCCTCTGACAGACCTGCTCCATCTGATAGACCTGTTTCTGGTACCAGAACCCCAGAACTGGACACAGCACCTCAGCTGTGGCCTCAATAGGGCTTAGTAAAGAGGCAGGATCACCTCACTTGACCTGCTGGGAATGCTCTTCCTAACGCAGCCCAGGATGCCATTGGCCTTCTTGGCCAAAAAGGTGTTGCTGGTTCATGGCTACCTTGCATATCTTGCTTGGTTTTATTCAATAATGTAAGTAAGAAAAAATAGAAAGACAGAATTGCATGAATAGGATGGTTACAGACTGAACCTAAGCAGGAAAAGTGCAATAAGGTCTCTAAAATCATGATCCTGCAAGTTATGGAGATCAGAGAAAGCAATGAACAACAACAAAAGGCTCAGTCATCATGAGGGAGCTAAGGAATTCAAGTAATTCAAGTAATTCAAGTATTTTATAGTCTTTTCCTTCTAATTTTGGTATCTACAGTAATGGTTCCAAGGGGATTAATGCCATGACACATTTCTGTTTAGTTTGCTTCCTCAGTTGGTGGCATTAAATTTCAACAGAAATCACAGCTGGGATTAACTGGAAAGACTTATTACTTTTTTTCCTTTAGTAGAGCCACACAACTCTGGAAATGTGGAATTTGATTCAGACAAGCTGATAAAGCTTCCTTATACAGCTACTTCAGAGAGCACTTTAGATTTTTGAATAAGAGACTTCTGTAGTCCACAAATTCCTTTCCAAAGTCATACATATTCATACATTTCCCCGCTTCCACAAGTCACACTGAAAGCTCAGAAAAAGTATATTAAAATATAGCAAGTAAGATTATTAATTTTATATTTGTAGTATTTTTTACATTTTATATAACCTCAGATACAAAGTGAGTTTCTATACATTATAAAAGTTCTTTTTATATAAAAAAAATGTAACAGTGACTGAGAAAAGTTAATGACTGCTAAGAAAATCCTGATAGACAGGTCACAGTAGCAAAGACTTCAGCTACTTACGCTGGCCCCACTGGCCACTGCTGGGATTCAGGTAGTTGGGGTAAAGGCCCTCTGGTTTATCCAGGCGATTTAGAACTTTTCGGATATTCATTACCTAGTGGAAGGTACAAAACACTGAGCACTTATCCATTTCCCCACAAAATACAGGAGTGTAAAGGTGCCTAAAAATAACCCACTGATCTTATTCAACACACACACCCAAACACCTCTGTGCAATTGTATCACTATTGAAAAAGCTGATATCATCATGCAAACAAGTTCCGGAAAACCTCGGGAGTTTCTGTGTCAATTGTCAGCCATGAAACAACACAACAGGAGCAAGCTCCAAAGTTCAGGACTTGCCATGCAGAGCATCCCCCTTCTCCCCAGGATGCTGAAATTCACTGAGGCTGTATGCCTTAACTACCTCAGCTACATCAGCTTTATATTCCTTGTATACCTAAATCAGAAATGCTGTTAAATATTAAGCTTATCACCTAGTGCAGATGTGGAAGCGCGCTGCAAAGGAGTTTTGCCTGGAAAGGAGAGCGCGGCTGGAACTGACTGAGCTTTACACCAGCAGCTTGCCCAGCAGCAGGGACCCAGGCAGCCCCCAGCGCTCTGCCGGCACTGCTAAGGAGCTCACTACAAATGAGATGCCCGGGGAAACAATTACAGTCCAGATGCTCAGCAGCTGGAGCCATCCAGCAGCACAATCCACTGCAGAGCACATGAAATGAGTTATACTGCATTTTAGGATTCACAGAAAAACAAATGTCGCAGCTTGGAAGAATGAGGACCCTGAGCACTGCAGGCCAGAAATTGTAACAAAAAGGTACTGACAGCTTCATTATAAACCCCCGAGTGCCTAGAGACCCAGTGAAGTAGCTACTGAAAAAGAAGATAAATTAACTTATACCAAGCTGCAGAAGGATTTCTGTTGTGGTACACAAACTGCCTCCTGCATATTGACATTACTCATTGCCCAAATGTAGGCTGCAATGAGTCCTAGACCTCAATTAATGAGTTCTTCTATGAATACACCCATGCAAAGCTTATTCCAGTGTTTCTTCTTTATCAAGTGTACCAGCCCTGGAATGGTTTGTCTCTGAGGGCTTTGGAATTGCAGTCTCTAAAAGGTTTTAAGAATAGCTTACGTAAACAGATTTCCAGCATCTTGCAGCTAGAGCATGACGCCACTGTGTAGAAGAACCATGGGCTAGGACTTTTAAGATACACACTTTCATTGTCCCTTAGTAGAACAGATGTTATGCATTAAATTACCATAAATGCCACAAGATAATTAACTTATGTTGAAAATTTATTTCTGTCTATTCCTCAGTGCTGCCACTCCCTACTCATCCACTCCCCATCCCCAGTCCAAATTTAAGAGAAACTGCCCTTATATTTACCCCTAAATACATGAAAACTGCTAGGAGTTTGTTTCACAAAATTTATTCCAATGCTGACAATGGTCCTGCAGCAAAGCCACTCAGTCCCTACCCAATAATAATTTTAGATTTGACTATTGCTTTTAGACCTACTGCTACACATTTGGAGTCTCAATAATTAGATTACTAGGTTGATAATATCAGCTTTAGGTAACATGGGGCAGCTGCAGTAAGAATACAAAATCAGAACAAGTGTACGTTTTAATTAGGAAATATAAAGAAGATAAATGATAAAGTGATAAAGAACAAGTGATAAATGATAAAGTGATAAAGTCCTGATAAAGAACAGGACTTGCTGGCTATTAGTATGTTAGAAAGCAAAGCAAAATTGTTCAGGTGGGAGCTGAGGGAAGGAGGAGTTCTTTCCATGGCTCATATATATAAAAAGTATCCAGAAGACAATGTTATCAACTTTTGGAAGAATTAGTATGCACAACAACTGGTTTGTCTAAGGATGTGATTTCTTTTTTCCTTCCCCAAAGAGAGTTCAAAATATATTTCTTATAGTGCAATGGAAGAGCTTTCTGATCTCACTGACAGGAGTCATATTATACAGCATTTTGAAGAGTAAACTTGTTGAAATCACTATGGTGCTTTGCTTTCTCTAGGCATCAGTTATTATTCTGAATATAATGTCACGTTTTGTTTATACCCCATTAAGTAAAGAACTGAAGAAAGCTGTACAGTCTGATTGCTTAATGTGATACTAATGTAGAAGATAAACAGAAATTAAATGTTTTATGGGGCCATATACAAGAACATATATCAGAATAATTTTGGAAGAGACTTTTGACTTTTTAATACAAAAACATGCCAAGGTAATTAGGGAAAATGTGACAAATGCTTACAACTGAGGAAAATCCAAATCTCTCCCTATTGATATTAGTCTCTGAATATGTGCTTTATCTTTTACAACATGATTTTGACGGAGCAGTCTAACCTTTTCAGCAAAAACAGGATTTCCAGACAGGTGGCTCAAATGTACAAACTCCAGATGCAAAGTCCCAAATTCTGCCAAAATGCTGCTTCCACCAGAGGCCCATGGCCAATTTCGACCGATTCCACTAAGATGGGGGGAAGAGAAAGACAGAAAATAATCATGAGCATCTATAAGGCAATGTTAATAAAATGTAATAGGCAGTAGCTATAACATTATCATGAGAAGATAATTAATCTAAATGTACTTAATATGTATGTAAGGAGCCATGCTTCAGCAGCCTTCCAGATTTCCCCACAGGACCTTGAATTTCTTCAGTCCAGCTCTGCTTAGGCTGTACAGTTGCTTCTTGCAACAACCCAGTCTTTTGGCTCACAAATGGCTCCATCACACTTATCACTGTCACAGTGTTTCATTGCAGGATATCATGTTTGAAGACACGACAAAAAACTACCGACTATAAGAAAGCATTCTCATACTTCACCTCTTTTCCTCTGTACTTAACACAGCACTCTCCAATTCTAACTCTAATTTCTACAGTGCAATTGCTCATTAACTTAAATTAATGCATATATACAGAATTGGCTTTAACTTAAAGTATTGCATGTAGCATATACTTCTTAATGCATGAGACTTTGATAGGCTAGGATAAGTATGTATTTTCTGTCTGGGCACTCGTACCAGGATGAGTAACTTCAGTTTTAATTATGACCTGAAGATACTTCACAGCAAAATTAATCTTAGGATTTGTATTGAGAATAGAGAAAATCATATTTATTGCTAAAACCCCACTAGAAACTAGAAACTAAAGCTGCTTGAGACTCAGAATGGTAAGTCTACTGAAGTTTCACTACAAAAAGGTGGGGGTTCTTTCCCCCTGGAAATTTCCAGCAGCAAAAAAACTCCTGAAATTAAAGAAAGGTTAGCCAGTGTTCCAGAGCACCTAGTTGAATAATGACATATTAGATTGGCTTATTATTAGGATGAATGTTACATACAAATACACTTATTAGCTACTGGAACATCTTCCACATTTCCAAGTTGTAAAGAGCATTAAACACAAACACATCTGTATATAAATAAAATTTTCATTTTACTTTTACACATAAGCCGCCACTACATCAATTAGCAGTTGCACAATCATGAAAATATGGTATTCTTCCTGAGTTAAAATGTGACTCAAAAAACCCAAACCCAGCAAAAACTCCAATAAATCATGATGGAAGTTCTCAGATACATTAAAATCTCTTCTTCAAAAGATTGTCTATAACTGAAGTTTAACCAATGCATGGGAATTAAGACTCCATTAAGTCAATCTCCCTGCTAGCTATATAAATGGTATTTTGAGACTTCTGCCAGACACACAAAATAAAACCAAGTCATTAACCTTCAAAAGCAGAGAAAAGCACAGAGAGCACAAAGGAAAGAGATCTGATGAGGCTCCCCTGGTTGACCATAAAGGTGCAAGAGGTGGGGACACATGTAAAGTCCTCTGATGTAAATAATTGCCCAAAAAGTGTTTCTAATCTTTATAGCTGCAGACTAAAATCAATGACACAATGAAATCAGGATACTGCAAAGATCCACACAATTCCAATTTGGTATGGCATTTGAGTAACTGAAACAGAACACAAGTTTATGGTATCTTAATAACACATTTTAAGATCTCTCTTACAAAAATTAGAGTACTTTTTACAGAGTGAAGAGAAACCCACATCTGGTTTACAAGCTGTCTGCACTTCAGTCTACTGTGGCTTGGAATTTTTTTGAATGGTAATGTAAAAGCATCAGATACTACAGAAAACAGGATCAAGGTGAGTACAAGCAGACAACATGTCTGGAAACATCTCCTCTACAGTCTGAAGAACTTGCAGACTGGTTATTCACCCAAGAACAGACCCCCATCTCTGCTACATGCTATCTCAAGTTCTAACTGCTGACTTCTAGATGAAAATATTTTATCCTGTTTCCAAATCACCCAGATTAAAAGAGCTGACATAAAGTTCACAGGAAGAAAAAAAATGAAAAAAAAAACCCTCAGAATTTCAAAAAGTTAGCATGTTGTGGTACAAATGGAAAAAGCACATGTGCTTTTTTCTAGAAAGTTTCTCAATCAATCTCAAAGTGAAAACATCGAGCTGTTCCTGCAGCAAGGCATCAACCAAAATTGACAGAAAACCTAATAGAGTTCCTACTTGCACTTCACCCCAGTGTCTGCTGATACCAATACAACCTGCCAGAACACTTTGATGTAGTGTGTTTTGTTAACAAGGAACATTTCCAAACACAGCTGTCAAAAGGTTTTCTGCATGCAGCAATGTGTTTTGCCATGAGTGGAAGATTCTCCTTTTTTAAGATGGTTTGAAAATTATGAACTTACATTCTTTGATTTTAATGCAAAAAATAAGTGGAATAAACATCTATGTATCTTAGGTACTATTTAATGGAGCTTTGATTTTTTTCAGTTGGGTCAGCTGGGAAAAAAAGGCATCAACGTATTTCTGGTAAATCTGCAAAATAACAAGGCTATGTGTTGGCTTAACCTGAGATGTGAGCTCTGTCACTGAAAAGCTCATTTCAATAAGTGGTAGTACCCACAATTTGCACTTCAGTCCCTCAACTATTTTTCATGCAAGCTTCAGCTATGGATGTGTGGTATTTTCTCATACCATAGAATGGCCTGGGTTGAAAGAGACAGTAAAAATCATCTGGTTCCAGCCCCTCTGCCATGGGCAGAGATTGCTCAAAGCCCTGTCCCACCTGGCCTTGAACACTTCATGCCACAGCTCCTCTGGGCAGCTGATTCCAGTGTCCCCCCCCCCTCCCATAAAAAATTTCTTCCTGGTATCTATCTAATCTAAACCTAATCGCTTTTAGTTTAAAGCCATTCCCCCTTGTCCTATCACTACCTGCCCTTGCCAAAAGTCCCTCTCAGCTCTCTTGCAGACCCCTTTAGGTACTAAAAGGCTGCTGTGAGGTCTCTCCAAACACTCCTGCAGGTTGAACAGCTCAATTTTCTCTGCATATCTTCATAGGAGGGGGGCTCCAGCCAACTGATCATCTTCATAGGATATATTTCATCTTTGGGAGCAAAGGAACAGGAAAGTTTTCTATGTTCCCTCACACTAACTGGAACAGCCACAGTACTACTTCTGATTCCATTTAACTCCATCCTTATTTTAAGATGATACTGCAGTGTGCATTACGCAGACAGTCAGTTCCTGGAGAGAGAGACCAGGAAATAATCAAACAAAGCTTTCAGCATACAGAATGGGACAGATTGCACACTCTGATCATTTTTGATTGGGAAAGTAGACTTTGACTTGTGTTTAACAGTATTTAGGCTTAAAAAAAAAGAAAAGGAAATGGGGAGGGTGCTCTTTTTTCAGCCCTGCCCTCTCCACCCTCCAAATCATAAATATTGTATACTTTTAAACAAAACACAGAACTTTAAAAAGGAGAGAAACTAAACAGAACAAAATAAATGGAAAAATATATCTGTGTCAGGGATTATAAACAATGAGTACATTTATAAATTACTTGAGGTGCCCTAGAAAATAACATGCAATAAATAAACAAAACAGCTCAGTAAATCTTAATAACTAGACATAGTAAAGTACTGATTTCTGTCCTTGCATGAGATAACATAACCAGTGGTCCCAACTCAGACATTTTTCAAGCTCTATACCATTACCATTATTAGGGTGAACAAAAACTCCTGCAAAGTTAAAACAAATCAATGCTAAGAACCTATTTACCATTCAGCCATAAAGTCAGCACTGGGTATCTCATTACTCTTCGGTTATGAAGTTATGCACTGGCTTCCTGAAGTCTTGAGATGCAAACCTGAGTCTCTGGTGAAAGGTTTTATTTCTACTCCCAAGTTTTAGCAAACCTACATAATGTTGCAAGTTCCTACAGGTTTTTTGTCTGGGGATGTCCATTACTCAAGTCAAGAAACAACAGTGGGAATCTGAACCCAAAGAATGATCAGGACACTTGGGGGATTCTCAAAAGGAGGTTTATGACTCTGTGCCAAACTTATGTGCAGATCACTCCTCCCAGTCAAAGCAAACCTGTAGAGCACTGAAAATTTTTGGCATCTTATTTTCACTCTGTTTAACAGTTTAATGTCACAAATGTCTTGTAAACTGACAAATGCAGTTTTCAGAAGGAGATGAAGGACAGCAAATGGGGCCAGGTACGATACTTTTTATATTAGCTGCATTCCTTTGTCTTGCCTTCTTTTTGTAATTTACCTTGCCACTGAATTTTTCAATTTTTCTTATGTTGATACACTACAACCTGTACTAAGTGTCAGTCATGTACTGGCATCAGAGTTAGAAACAAAACTCCTACTGTACACTTCAGGAAGGAAAGAGGGAAGGAGACACACTACTCAAACTACTTTGAAGATCCAGATGAGTACTAAAATATCTTCAGTTTACAGGGTACTATTTTAACCTATCTGAAATCACAGTGTCTAAAATAGTATATTTTACACTGCATAAAACACACAAAAAGTTTCTGTAACATATTCAGAGAACTTTAGGACTTATTATAACTTTTATTATGTAAGTAAGACAAATTTGAAGTGAGGATCTGGATCAGAGAACCATAGTATTTTGGTTAATAATATTTCTTACTGATTTTATAAATTTTGTTTCTGAACACTGAGTGCCACAGAATCTGAAAACCAGTGTTTGTAATTCTACTGTCATTCATTCTTGGGAAATATCAGCCTGATTGACCTGGGCTGCTGGTAACTCAATTCAGTATTTTTCCAGCAGATCATTGTTGGTTCATCTGTACATAAGAACAGAAAGTATGAGATCACTAAGTCTTCTAAAATGTACAGAGTGTACCAAGAGAGGGAACCACAGAGGAAATATAAATATTCAAAGGTTGCTTTTTAAAAAAATCACTGAAATTCAGAAGCACAACCATATTTAAAAGAGTTTTAAAAAATTATACTACATCTCCAATATATATAAAGCAGCAGCTAATTTTCAACCGAAAGGAAAAGCAAATCCTCAGGGAAACTGCACAAATACTTCAAAGGGTCAAAACACTTATCAAAATTCTTGTCATCAGCAAGCAGAACTGTTTGTCTCTGCAGACAACTTG